CGCTGCTGCAGCTGATGCTGCCGCTGTGGCTGGGCTCTGCTCTGCAGGGGGAGGGGGAGCAGCCCTGCCTGGGCCCGCAGGCTCAGCTGAGGCGGGGGGCACAGGCTGACAGGGGAGACCCCGGGCTGCCCTGCGTTTGGCCATCCTGCTCTGCCTGGGGCTGCCCAGCTGCCCTCTCATTCCTGTTCGTTGGAGGTTCTGGGGCTGGAGGTCTGTAAGCTGCCTGCCAGGAGCAGAGGGCTCTGAGCACCTTCCAGGCGGGAGTTTTGATTGCCAAGCCCGCTCGGCTCCCCAGACCCCCCTGCAAATCCATCTGAATGCAGCAGCTCCTCTCCGTTCCTGCCCCAGCGTGTGGAAGGCTTGGTGCGGTGCCGTGAAAGTACCTGTGGGGGTGGCACACAGGGACAGCTCTGAGCTCTGCCCGTGCCAGCTCGCAGAGGCAGCCGCCAGAAGGGTGACGTTCCATTCCTCCCAAACGCAGCCAAGGTCCTTCAGCGGCTGGGCTCTCAGCCTGGGCATCTTCAGGGATGTGGAATGCCGTGAGCAGGGCAGAGGGCAGGGATGGGCTGTGCTGCCAGCCTTGCCGCTGCCCGGCCCCGTGCTGCTTCTTGAGAGCGAAGTCTGGGAGCCAGCCTTGTGTTTTGCAGGAGGAGGGCTTGGAGCGGCAGCTGGTGAACCTTCTCATCGAGCTGTCTGCTGAGCAGTACGTGCCAGTCTTTGCACACCACCGACTGTCCTTGGAAGCGCTCAGCACCATGACTGCCAGTGACCTGGAAAAGGTACGAGACACACAGGGCAGGGCGAGACTGACTGCGCTGGGGCTGAACCTGCCGTGCCCAAGGCCTGGCAGGGGGAGCGTTGGTGCTCCTGGTGTGTCACCTCCCAGCACGGAGAGGTGCCAGTGCTGCTCTGTGCCCCGTAGGCGAGAGCAGGGCGAGCTGTAGCTTGGCTCTGTCTTTTGACATCCCTCAGATGAGATTGTGGTAGCAGTGGCCCTGGGGAAACTCCTCTGGTGCCTGGCAAGGGGGGTTTCCCTTGGCATGGCTGGCTCTTTGAGGGCCCACCCAAGGGTTCGGGGGCCCCTCGGGGAACCGGGTCTCCTATGTCCC